GGGGGGGGGGGAAGGGGAAAGGAGCAGCGCGCGTGCGCGTGCGTGCAGGCAAGGAGCGTTCCACCCCGCGGGGCGCGCGCGCGCCCCCTCTTCCCTTCCCACCCACCCAGAAAACCAGCCCGCGCCGGAGCCAATCGGCGCGCGCCTTTTTCCCTCCCCTTTTTTTTTTTTTTTTTTTGGCTCCGGGCACTCGGCCCCGCCCCGAGCTCGCGCCGGCCCGAGAGGCGGCTCTCTCCGCGGGCCACGCCCCCCCCCCCCCCCCGCTTTTCCTTGCGTTCGGCCGGAGACGGAGCGAGGCCGGCTTGCGGGCTGGTCACGTGACGCGGTGGCGGCGAGGTGGGCGGGGTGCCGAGCTTGCGCGAGGCGGAGGCGGGTGGGGTGCGCAACCGGGCGCTCGCGGGCGCCTTGAGAGGGTCCCTGGGAAAAGGGGGGCCGGGGTGGATGTCGGCTCATCTCATCCCCAGTTGGGGAAATCTGCTTGGCTTCCGGCTGAGGCGAGGAAGGGGCCGCACAGCCGCGTCTCCTGGCGTGTGTGACTTTGGGGGCTTGAGAAGCGGGCTGGACACGAGGCCAGGGCATACAAGTAGTACCTCCGCGTGGTTTTTCGCGTGGGAGCTTTTGACAGATATTACAGAATAACAGAGTTGGAAGGGAACTTGTAGGTCATCTAGTGCAACCCCCGCCCAAGCAGGAGACCCTATGCCAAGGGTCTTCAAACTTGACAGGTTTGAGACTTCTGGACTTCAACTCCCAGAATTCCTGAGCTAATATGTCTGGAGGAGGAATTCTGGGAGTTGAAGTCCACAAGTCTTAAAGCGGTCAAGTTTGAAGACCCCTGGCCTACAACCATTTGTGACAGGTGGCCGTCCAGTCTCTTCTTGAAAGCCTCCACTGATGAATTTCTGAAGGCAACTCCTGTTCCATCGGTTGACTGCCCTCAGTGTTATAAAATTTATCTTAATTTCCTGGTTAAATCTCTCCGTGTTCAGTTTCCATCCATTATTCCTTGTCTGACCTTCAGGTGCCTTGGAAAATAGCTTGACCCCTTCCTCCTCTCTGTGGCAGCCCCTCAAATATTGGAAGGCTGCTCTCATGTCTCCTCTGGTCCTTCTCTTCACCAGACTAGCCAGGCCCAGTTCCTGCAACCGTTCATCATGTTTTAGTTTCCAGTCCCCTCTTCATCCTGGTTGCTTTTCTCTACACTTTTTCTAGAGTCTCAACATCTTCTTTATAGTGTGGTGACCAAAACTGGATGCAGTATTCCAGGTTCGGCCTTACTAAGGCTTTATAGAGTGATATTAGTGCCTCCCTTGATCTTGATTATATTCCTTTTTTGGCCGCCATGTCACACTGCTGGGTCATATTTAGAATAGAAATAGGAATAAGAATAGAATAGAATAGGGAATAGAATGGAATAGAATAAGGAATAGAATTGAACAGAATAGAATAAAATAAGGAATAGAATAGAGTAGAATAGAATAAGGAATAGAATAGAATAGAATAGAATTCTTTATTGGGCAAGTGTGACTGGACACACAAGGAATTTGTCTTTGGTGCAAATGTTCTCAAATTCCTTGTGTGTCCAATCACACTTGCCCAATAAAGAATTCTATTCTATTCCATTCCATTCCATTCCATTCCATCCCATCCCATCCCATCCCATCCCATCCCTTCCCATCCTATCCTATCCTAAATATGAGCCAGCTGGTTGTCCACTAAGACTCCAAGATCCCTCTCACAGTTACTGCAATTGAGCCTGGTTTCACGCAGTCTAGATGCGTCCTTTTGGTTTTTCCTGCCTAAGTGTAAGGCTTTACTTTTTTTTCTACATTGAATTTCATCTTGTTTGGATTGAGGAGAAAGCCTCTGGCGTGGAATGGAAGGAAGTGGGAGGCACCATGAGCATGTCTGCTCAAACATTGGTGGTCCTATGACTTAACAGCCACCCATTTAGTGGCCCTTGGAAGTCGGGGCAGCACTGAAAAGAGTGAGGGTCAGTGTTATGGCCACTGCAACATCCTCCAGTTAAATAAAAACATATGGCAGTTGCACTGCCCCAGTGTAACTTTCCCAGCTGGAAGTCTGTAGAGTTTCTAGGTCATCCAGGTCATGGTTGTCCCAGAGATGCTTTTTAAAGAGGCAACTGGACTTTCTTGTTTTTCTTTGAAGGCGCTTCGCTTCTCATCCAAGAAGCTTCCTCAGCTCTGACAGGATAGTGAGGAAATGGAAGGATTCATATGCCTTGAAGACAGATGGTCATTTGCATCCTTTTAGGGAGTCCTTGAAGCCACCTGGAGGGTCGCCTGAGTAATGCAAATGGGTGTGGATAAAGCCACTTCCACTACTACAGCAGATAAATCTCCCAAGTAGCCTCAACGACACTCCAAAAAGAATGCAAATGACCAGCTGTCTATTCCACTCCACTCCATTCTTTATTATTCCTGTCCTGTCCTGTCCTGTCCTCTCCTCTCCTCTCCTCTCCTCTCCTCTCCTCTCCTCTCCTCTCCAAAATGTTCTCATAGACCCAACTTTCCTTCCCTTCCCTGAAGGAATAGCAATTGATTAGTTCAATTAGGTGCCTTCCAGTCAATGTCAGTTCCTGGCAACTGCCTACTATAGATCAAGGGCTTGGCAACTATGGCCTCTTGTTTGACCTGTGGGCTTCAACTCCCAGAATTCCTGAGCCAGCAAGCCAGCAAGGGGCCAGAGTTGCCCACCTGTACTGTAATCCCAAAGGTGCTGTTTTTCCCCCCCAAGAGATAACTGGTCTTTCTGACTTCTGACATTTCGCTTCTCATCCAAGTAGCTGCTTCAGCTCTGACTGGATGGTAGATGGATGGAAGGATTGATACTCCTTGCAGACAGCTGGTCATTTGCATCCTTTTCAGAGGGTCATTGAGGAGGTCACTTGGATACAGATGGCCACCGCACACAGATAAACCTTCAAGTGGCCCCCTTCCCTTCCATCTGAAGAAACGGGCTATATATCGTATCAAATAAATGAATAAAGGCAGTTTTTCTCTCTGTTAAGTAACTGAATGCATTGGGGTTTTCTAGTTTTACATGCAGTGAAATTGGGGGAACAAATGAGAACGCTTTACAAGACTCGGAAAATACATCATTAATACTGACTTTGCTGGGAACAGTTAAAGCATTTTTTAAAAAAGATTACTGGCATTGCAAAGATTTAAAATATCCCTTGCTGCTTGAAACAGAAATCTGGAGAGCCTTTATCGCATGCCAACGCTGTACAATTGAATTCTTGGAACAAGATGGCTAGGTTTTAATGAGTCGCCATAAATATTCTTGTATAAAAAGTTTGGGGCAGATGTATCAAGGCATCAAAGGCCTGGCCTGCTGCTTTTCAAACGGTCTCTCTCTTTCTCTCTCAAAAAGGCATTTTCTCAAGAAAAACTTTTACTATTCCTAGTTGTTTGGCAAGCCCGATTGCCAATTTGTACAATTTGCTGTCCAATTATTTCTTAAGTCTCCAGTGTCGGAACATTCACAGCTTTTCTTCCTTCCTTCCTTCCTTCCTTCCTTCCTTCCTTCCTTCCTTCCTTCCTTCCTCTACTGTAGAATAGAATAACAGAGTTGGAAGGGACCTTGGAGGTCATGTAGTCCAACCCCCTGCTCGAGCAGGAGAGTCTATTCCAAATATTAGCCTCTACCTAGGATCAAACACATCCTCCTTCCTTCCTTCCTTCCTTCCTTCCTTCCTTCCTTCCTTCCTTCCTTCCTTCCTTCCTTCCTTCCTTCCTTTTGTGGTCTTTAAACATTTTATTCAATTGAAGTCAACACTGGGAGAACCTTCTTGTCTCTCAGAAACTTCCTACCTATCACCTTACATTATACTAGTGATTTTTTAAAAAAAACAAAGGCAAAACCAGTTTCTACAGATTCCTCCTGCATCCCAAATCCCAAGATTAAAATACTTGGGACAATTATGGATTGTTAGAAAGAAAGAAAAAAACGTCTTTCCCTATCCAGATGAGTCTGTGTGTTTCTTGTACTCTGTTATCAGTCCTGTTTACTTGAAGGACCACCTTTAAGCCTTAGTTCCTTGATAAATCAGATTCAGACAACCATTTTTGATCTGCATCCAAGGAGTTGTTACAGGGGACCGAAGATTGGGAGGTCTGGCCAACCATCAAGAAGACAGACAAAGTGTCAGCCTTGGAAGCTTCGAGGCTGCCCCATTTAGTGCCTGGAAATTTGGGAGGGGGGATGTCATACTGAGGTAGAAGATTAGAGACAACAACATGCTTTTCTCAGAGAGTCAAGGACATGTTGCCCTGCACTTGGAGGGGGGTGTCTGGAAGAATGTCTCCAGTTAGGATGGAGATTTGATTGGGCCATGTGATGGACTGATGGGTGAAGGGCAGAGGTGGTATTCAGCAGGTTCTGACCAGTACTGGAGAACTGGTAATGGAAATTTTGAGTAGTTTGAAGAACCGGCAAATTCCACCTGTGACTGGCCCCACCCCATCTATTCTCTGCCTCCAGAGTCCCAGCTGATCGGCTGGTTCTTCTTTGGTTGCCGTACACAGGAGGACAGAACTGGAAAGCAGGTTAGTGGGGTGGGGAG